GGGGATGGGGATGGCTCTCACGAGGCTCAGTGCTGCTCATTTTCTCTCCAGAAAACAGGCAAAGCCCTGCTGGCCCTCAACAGATTGACCCTGCTGTCCCAGAGCCCGGAGAGGAAAGTGTCAGAGGCTCAGGGTGAGGAAGGTGATGGCCCCTGAAGCATCATTCCCAACGCACCACATCAGCCCGTTCTCTCTGCTCTGCCACCCCCAACTCATGCTCCTGGGCAGCTTCTCCCACTTTTGCTCCAACCTGCCCTGGTGCCACCAAACACCCAGACATGTCCCCACTGTGGCATTGCTGCTTTAGCTTCAGTGCCCCAAGGTCCTTTCCACTCTCATCCTCAAGGGACCAGCTCTAGTGCAGCCTTGGAACAGGCACATCCTGCTCTTCAGGGCTGGGATCTCTGTGATCCAGAGCTGATCCTCACAGGACCTGGCCCACAGGTGCCACATGTGTCCCTCCAGCAGAGAAGGAAGGTTGAACTTGGCTGTCTCCTCACCGTTGCCTCTGTCCATCTGCCCGCAGACCTGGCCTGCAGCCCAGAGGAGGACCAAGCCTCCAGGTCTCTGACCCAACAAGGACCTGGCTTCTCGGAGCTTCTGATGGACCGACAGAAGGAGGAAGATGGGAGTGCTGCAGTCACAGGGAGGCAGAGAACAGCACCAGTGTGGCCATGCCATACCAGTCCTGGACTACCAAGAGGAGCAGGGAGTGATGGGGATGAAGCCTCCTCCAGCAGCTCTCACAATGACCCGGCCAGCCTGGGGTAGACCCGGACCCCAGGGCTTCTCCCCTGTGGGTGAGCTCTGGGGTCCCACAGTGTCCCTGCACTGGTGTGGGGACAGCTGTGCCTGCTGTCCCCAGCGAGGAACCAGAGCTCCTGTCTGCATGGCCACCCAGGGTAGAGCTGTCCCCAATAAAGCACCGATGATCTCTGCACTCCCTGTGCCTCTCCTTTTTCCCCCAAAAGTCACTGGGAGGGGTGGGAAAGAGCTGTCCAAGCTGTACCCACCCTTTGGGAGCTGGCACCAGGCTGTCCCCCGACCTGGGTCATCACACTTGTCCTCTCCAGGAGGGATGCTGGCACTGGGACTGAGTGGGGATGGCTCTAGCAGCAACCCTGGTGACCCTTGTTTGGAAGTGTCTTCTCATCATCAAGGTGGGTTGGCATCATGTCCTGAGCCCGCAGGCAGGAGAAGGATGAGCCCTGGGGTCTCTCCCTTTCTGGGCCAACCCTGGTACCAGCAGGGCTGGAGGGGGCCCAGAAACTGCCCTGTGACCTCCAACCTTCTCCTGTGGAGGCAGCTGGGGCAGAAATGGGGGTTTGGGAGCCCCTCTCCTTCAACAAGAAGTGCAGAACACTGCCCTTGGGCAAGAACAACCCCACACCAGTATGTGCTGGGGGACACCTAGCTGGGAAGCGGCTTGGCAGACATGGACCTGGGGGTCTTGTTGCACACCAGGTTGACCATGATCCAGCACTGAGCCCTTGCTGCAAAGAAGGTGAATGGTGGCCTGGGCCGCACTAGAAAGCGTGTTGCCAGCAAGGGGAGGGAGGTGATCCTTCCCTTTACTTGACACGGGTGAGGTCACACCTGGGGGACTGTGTCATGTTCTGGGATCCCCAGTACAAGAGACATGGACGTACTGGAAGGAGGTCACTGAAGGATGATGGAGGGACTGGAGCACCTCAGCTCTGTGGAAAGGCTGAGGGAGCTGGGACTGTTTAGCCAAGAGAAGAGAAGGCTCAGTGGCCCTCCCTTCAGGTGTTGATGAGATGGTGCAGTAAGGATGGAGCCAGGCAATTAGTGGTGCCCAGGGACTGGATGAGAGGCCATGGGCATCACCTGAAACACAGGAGGTTCCATCTGAACCTCAAGAAACACTTTTTTTTTTTTTTTGTTCACTGGTGCTAGAGCACTGGCAGAGGTTGCCCAGGGAGATTGTGTGATCTCCATCCCTGGTGACATTAAACTGTCCAGACATGGTCCTGGGCAACCTGTTCTAGGTGGCTCTGCTGGAGCAGGGGCACGGACCAGATGATCTCCAGAGGTCTCTTCCAACCCCAATCATCCTGTAATTCTGTGAAAACCCACCTCCTGTTCACGGTGGGCTGGGGGATGCTGTCCCCCAGCACATGCCAACACCAGAGGACTTTTGGAGGTGCCCTGATCACAGTGGTCCAGCCCTGTGCCCGCTGCTCGTGTGCAGCTATGCCAAATAACACACGACTGAGGCACGGCTGCAACGCTTCTTCCTCCTCTTCCTCCTCCCCTGCTGGACAAGGCCACCAGGAGGAAAGCGTCATTTTTATTAAACAGAACCAAACCCACCCGTTCTCACAACTGCAGCATCAGAACTGCTGCTGGACCAGTGACGACAAACCCACTTTTGGAGAGTTTGCAGAACCCTCTAGGAAGATGATGGCCACCAGGGCAGGAGGTTTCCATGTCAGAATTTGGCAACCTGCTGCCTCGAGACGGACAGACCAACCAGAGTTCCTGTGGTCCCTTGGTTGGGGGACTTCATGGCTCTTATCTGCTCTTCTCTTGGGCCAGTGGGGAGGGATGCTGTCACCTTCCTGTCCTGTTATTGTGGCATCAACTCTCCAGCTGACAAGGCTTTATCAGCACCCAGGCCTGATTTGAATTTTTGTGGCAAAAGCCTGTTTCTGTTAATAATGTCCATGGCCAATGGCTGCTGCTGGGTACATCTGACCACGGGAAGCAGGAGACCGCTGTGGTGGGGCAGACTGGTAACATGCTCTGCCCAGGGCTTGGTGGTCTCTTCCCTTGTTGGAAACAGTAGATGCAACTGAAGAAGGAACTTCATTTGGAAGCTGGTGCACGGACCTCCAACCAGAGCACGGGGAGCCCTTTTAGGGACCTCCCAAGGATGGTGAGGCCAACCTTGATGTTTTCATTGCTTGGCGTGCCGTAGGTCACTCCTCACAGGGTTCGACCGTGGCTCTTCAATGGCCGGGTGAGACAGAGCTCACTCGCTTTCCGTTCCTCCCACGTTTTCAGTGGGAGAAGTGGATTCACTGCTCTGAGTTGGAGGAGAAGCTCCTTAGAAACAAATAAACAAAAATAGTCCATATTCTATCCATGGTATTGGTTTTCCCTTCCCAGAGTAACAGAGAGAGGCTCCTCCCCTGCTCTTCTCTGAATGTTCACATGCACCATATCCTGGTTTTTACCCGTTATCTATCCCATGTTTTCCTCATCACACAGACTCTGAACTCACACGCATCCCTTGGGAACCAAGTTGAATGCCTTCAAGCTGCAGATGATAAGCAAACACCAAGTTACGTATAATCAATCCCTTGATGAGCTATTTACCATGTGACATTACAAAAATATTTCTGGTTGGGATCTATGTTTATCTTCATCTGTTTTCCAAACTCCTCACAGCCCTGAAAAGTTGGTGTCCCAGGACTCCAGACACGAGCTTTGTCTGTATAATCCTGTGGTTTACGCTGTAAAAATTGATTTACCTATGGAAGAAGCTGGTTTACCTACAGAAAGCACATGTTTCTTCTCCTTCCACCCCTTCCCATGGCTTAACGCATTAAAATGTGTGCTTGAGAAAGCGACGGACTAAATGAAGAGTGGAGTTATACCTGGAACTCATCACAGCCACCGAGAAATTTGGCAGCACTGAAGAGAAATCCAATCCTAGCACCTCAGAGGCAAAGGAATTAAAATCTTGATCCTTCCATCAAGAAAGACTCTTGGGTTGACCTTCACTTCAGCCACACAACTTCAGAGTAGGTCTTCACAACTCCTCCATCAGAGCAAGCCCTTGGGGAACCCTACGAAGCAGTTCCCTCCCTAGCTCAGGTACCCCTAGGTCCAGCTCCTCGGAGGTACGTCAGGTGAGGTTGGATGTCCAAATAACCTTGAGCTTCTGGAGCTTAATCCTTCAGTGCCAAGTTATCGTGATAATCTTGGGCTGCACAATCAAGGTCCAGGAATGCTTATTTGGACGAGGAAATATTGCCTGGGTAGCTCTAACGTCAAGAAATAGTATATTTTTGTGGACCTGCAAATTCAGGGGAGAAAAAACAGAACAAAACAACCCCGTAAGAGTATGTTTTTCTGCTTGGGAATTGAAATGATTTAAGAAAACAAACCCCAGTCTGGAATCAACCTTAATGTATTAAAAAAAAAAAAAAAAAAAAAAAAAAATTAGCCCTGGGCACATAGTGGAGAGGTTTATTTGATCATGTCGATTCCAGAATGCTTTTTCAAGGACTGTTATAGCAGGGAGTGAACAGCCATCACGTAATTTGAATTGTCAGATAAAAGCCTTCACGTATCACAAGTCAACCACGAGAAAAGTGGTGAAAGCAGAGAAGACACAAGAGTACACGGACTTGGTGGCAACAGATGCAAAGGCAGTTAAATGAGGACAGAAGCTGTAAGTGATGAAGGAACATCAGTAATACCTGAGTCGTGACGCACTCGTCTCTCAGCAAAGCTCCCTGAGCGAAGCAGGGTGTCCTCTCCTCCCAAAGGGCATGGCCAGGTCCCGGCCAGGCTCTGGGGGGAGGTCAGGAGGCTCTTCCTGGTCACAGGACCTCAACAACCATCAGCCCAAGGTGCAGCATCCGGGGTGGGTTGTGCAGGGCTGGCCCAAGAGAAGAGCAGATAAGAGCCATGAAGTCCC